TTTCTGGAGATAGATTTGCAGGCTAAATATTGTAATGCAAACCATGCTTTCACAAGTGAAAGTGAGAATCTGGGACTTACGTTACTTCAAGAAAGCCATTTACTACAGAATAGCAGCTGTGATTTGATTGTAGCCTGCAAAATAAAGGGTGGCGTAGGAGTTTCACACAGGAAGGGATTACTTTATCTGTAGAATAGGATTTTGAATGGGCTGCAGTTTGGGAACTGCACTTCTATCTTGTATCTCTATCTGTTCAGGATGAGAGGCTGGGCCGTGACAATGAGATCCACAGGGAGCAGATGGAGCGGCTGGTACGGGAGGAATTGGAGAGGTGGGAGTCAGATGACACAGCATCTCAGATGAGCCATCGTCTGGGAACACCACTGGGACTGAACGGGCAGCCTCGGTCGAGGAGCTCCCGGCCGTCCTCCTCGCAGTCAGATGGCATTGATGGGGGAGGAGGAAATGGGGCTAATAACCTCCATGTGTAGCATAGGTTTTGCTGTTCAGTCACCATCAAGTCAACTACACCACTGCTTCCCAGAATGAGGTCATCATCCTGATCTGACCACTCAAGGCAAGCTCAGCGGTAGGTGAAATAAATACTCTGTTCATAAGGCATTTTGAGAACTTTGCAAGCACGTGCCAGGTCCAAGTCACCAACACTGAGACTGTTGGCCTTAGAAATGAAAATGCAGAGGTAGAATGGAAGCCAGATGTGACAAAATCTACCTGGACAGAATTCTGTTTCCATTTATCTATTCCAGTTTCTATACACAAATTGTTTCGTGTGGTCAACAAGCTTTAGACAAAAGGCACTATGACTAAAGAATTCCAGTGATAGGCTGTGGGTTTTCTGCTGTCTACTAGAAAAACACAATGTTTAAAAGCTTTGAAAAGCACTTTTTAAAAGGAAAATAGCATCAGTTATCACCCTATTCATTTTAACAGCTGGCACTTGGCAAGAGTCAAAACAGTGTCTCTTTTTTAAGTAAGTGTGTATTTTTTTTTTCCTGGAGTTATTGTTGGCTTACTGACATATTATTTAATATAAAATGTCCTTTTTCCTCCTTTTTTATTTTAAATACTATGTTTCATTAAGCAGAGGAAGTGCTCTTAGCTTGTAACGTTAATTGGGTTACTCTGCAATAGAAACTATACACATAGTGCCTCTTTCTGTTTCGTCAGCATTTTAAAAGTAATGTTTAAGAACTGCCTCTCCACACCTAATCAATATGGTCATCTTCACCTCTGTCACACAGTGCCTTTTTTTTTCTTTTTCTTCTGCCATGTTTTGCTGTGTTCCTAGGATAAATAGAAGGTCCTTTCTGTGCCTTCCATGTCATAGATGATTTATTGTTGGAAGGAGAGATGCACCACTGAAGGTAAAACATTGCTTTCCAATAGCTTTCCAATAGAAAGCACTGAGTTACAGCATTCTTTTGCCCACCAGCGTTGTGGCATGTTGTCTTAGCAAGAAGGCTGTCAGCTGTGCCTTGTTCCCGAAGATGGCACTTATCTTCCTTTGTACTGCTTTTTTTTTTTTTTTTTTTTTTTTTTTTTTAATGAAAATGAATTTACATTCCTAGCTGTATGTATTAATGTGTATTTCTATAGCAATTTCTATCCTTATAACAAACTTCATCTTGAAGTGCATGTAGTTTCCATGGGATATCCATGTGTGTGACAATAGCAGTGCAGTAAGTGCATGGCTGCATGACGAATGTTCTGAACATTCATATTATCTTGTTTTTTTTTTTATTGTAGATTCTAGCACAATTTTTTCACTTAAAATTAAGGTTTTGTATAGAAAAGCTATGTACAGTGCTTGGTCTCATTAGCAAGCTGTTAATTACGTGAGCCTTCTGCAATGATCAAGAATGTATTGATCTTTAAAATGAGCACTTTACTTCCCAATAAACTTTTGTATCATCTGCAAAGCTAAAACTGTTTCCTGACTTGGTCACTGTGTACCATCAGCTGAAGACGCGTTTTTGACAGGGTTTTCCTTTAGCAAGCAGCATGTTAATTCATGCCTGACAAACAGAGGGAGAATGAGATTTTTTGAGAGGATGCATTCATGTTGTTCTTAAAGACATTTCAGGGAGCTTGCAGTGATGTGAATTTCGGTTTCTTTTAAAGTCTATTGGGCTAGTGGAAGAAAAAAATCTAGTAAGGTTAGGCCAGAGTGATTTCATGTGGTAGTGATGGGGTGGGAGGTTGGAAGTGGTGAGATTAGAGACTTTCTCCAGCCTTAAGGATTCTATGATTCGGTGGGAAAAAAAAAATGGGACAAAACACTGTACTTACTCATAACATAGCTATGTTTAAATGCTATACTAAGCTTATTATAGAACCTATTATCTATCTGCTCTGGGAGCCAATGAGAATGCTTGATAAAGAATCACAGATTTAGTCTTACTGTCTCATGTAATTGAGGTACGTTCCTTTTTCAAATATATTTTTAAACTGGTGAAGCCAATTTTATGGGGTAAGCATCAAAATAAGATTATTTTTCCAATACCGCTGAATCTGTTGGTACTGGATTCTCTTCTGCATGAGAGATCATGCTGACAGCTGGACTTAATTATCTTGGAGGTCCTGTCCAACTTCAATGATTCTCCGAGAGGGCAAGGTGTTGATGGGTTGATACTTGGACTAGATGATCTTAGAGGTCGTTTTCAACTTCAGTGATTTTGCTGTGTGGAATGAGACTGTAAAAAGGCACTGTCCTACCCATTGCACTGCAAGCTTATTTTTTTTATTTGCACACACTGCAAGTTAAACAAGCAACTCTATTGCCTCATAAACAAAACATCCTCTTGTTCCATAGACTTAATTGTTAACTGCAATGAACAGTGCACTCACTTATATTTCTTCACTTAAAAAATGATATATATATTAATTGTTATGTATCTCAAGGAAAACTCCCTATAGATACGATGAAAAAATACATTCAAAATCTTTTTATAAAATCTGACTCAATATTCTTCTGACTACCATAAAAATATGTATGAGAGACAGACAGAGACACACAGAAACACACATCCACAACATCTACTCTTGCCTAAATCCTGAAATGAAAATCCGTTCTTTGGTGGTAATAAGTGAAGCTGCTGAAAGGGACTAACACACTAGTCCTAGCTTAAAGCCTCCAATCCATCCTCTTTGACCTGATTATTTTCCAACGGAAAGGACTCTGCTGCCTTTACTTGGGCTGAATGCTGTACAAAATATTTAAGTTGATCTTCTGTCAAAGAAAATCAATCTGTCTGACTGTTCAACAAGAAAAAAATATTTGTTAACGTGGAACAAATCAATTAGCCTACACACTGTAATACATCAGTTCAAGGATTTCCTTGTTACCTACAATTTTTAATGAAAACATTTCGTTAAATTTCTGCCCAAAACAGCCAAATGAGTGTTCCCCTACAGCACATTCTGCAGTTCATCAGGCAGAGATTCAGTGAAGAGCAATTCCCCCTCAAAACAAAACACACATTCCTCATCAAATACAGCCCCAGCTCCCTACGCTTTAACTAAGGGCAAACAATAGGTTGACACTGACCTCAGAAGTGGAAGATCAGATTCTTTCATTCATAAAAAATGGGGAAAATGGACAGCCTCAGTGGCAGACCCTTCTTTGCCCAGTTGGATAGGTCATAACCAGTCAGCCAGTGTCAGTTAAGAAGCCCTGAACACACGTCACAAGTTTCCTAGGAGGTTTTTCCATCGAGCATGTGAAATGCAGTGTGCCACGGCAGTTCAAATATCTTAATTTAGGTTAAGAACAAATTTCTATCAAGGGCTACAGATGCATGGATGCAAGAATACCAGCATGATCCCCAGGAAGATGCCATGCCCTCATAGCAGGGCGCAAGAGAGTTCTATGTGTAATTCATGAGCACTCCACACCCAACTGCATTTATCATCCAATCAGCGTTTCAAAAGAACTCTTCTGTTCTAATAATACAGACGTTAAGCATCTACAAATTCATATAGAGAAAAGTGTCATGATATATTGTAATTATGCAAATAGCTGACCGATAAATTAATTCCTGGGGTCACAGGATCATGGGAGGTCTCCATTCCAACTCAGAGAAGTGTCAACACTGAGTCCAAATTGACTTGCTCAAGTCTCTGCCTGATCATGTCCTGAAAACCTGCAAGGAGATTGTAAAGCTCATCTGGGATATTAGTTCACTGGGAAACACCAAGTCAGCAGCTGTCCTTTTTTCATTTACGCCTACCACCCATATGTATCCATATCTCATGATAGCAAGTGGGACATCAAAATGAGTGTGAGTTTTAGCATTGATGTTTCAGCAAATTTCATAATTACAGCAAAATACCAATGAAATAAAAATATCATTGAAAATATATTTGAAGGACAAAATATTCTGTACTTACATATTTCTTCTTGCAAGATAAATACTTTTTTTCTATCTATTTTAGCTTCACGCTACATAAAAGCACAACATTTTAAGATGCAGACATAGTTCTTTGAAGCAGTTATACCAGTCTGCTTCTCCAGGAAAAATCTATTATGCATTTACCTAGTTCCCAGCTGGATTTCCATTTGACCTGTTGTACCATGTTCCACATAATCACCCTGGTGCAGAACTAAACAGATAGAGAGGCAGTTTCCACACTGATACCCTTTAAGCTGCAGCATCAAGTCAAATCAGTCTTGTAGAAAAAGTCTTCTACATGCTTCTGGATCAATGCAGGACTGCCCATTACTGGAAAGAGCAAAACACACAGTAGACTCATTATAAAATGAAAAATAAATGCCTGTAGTGTCAGGTATTGACAAATTCCACAAAGTTATGGGCCCATAATCTTCATTCTCTCTGTTCAAAATAAAGACATGGAGCAACCTTGTTGATATCAAAATATGCTAGTAAAATTCCCAATGGCAAAACCATGCATCCCATCCGTAGTGTCAGAAAATGCTCATAGAGATATTGCGTATTCAAAAAAGATTCAGGTTGCATCTGCATGCTTTTGTTATAAGGAGATACACACAGAATTTGGTGCAATATCCAAACAAGTTCTGGTTGCTGTACTGTCTTCTATTCTCCAAAGAGCATAACATTTTTCAATAACATCATGTACTTTGGTTTTAAGCAAGAAACACAAGAACGGCTTTATAACTGATGCCCATGAGTCTCTATAGATGTCCTGGAAGAAAAAAGTGTCAGAAATCCTTGTCCCAACCAGAAAGTTCGTCTGGAGGCATTCCCTCTTCAGGTGGATAGCTGTCAAAGTAGCTGTAGTCGGTTGGTCCAGATAACTGTGTCATTAAAAATAAAACAGATGGTTATTTCAGAAGTTAATTTTTGAAATACTCTCTGTTCATTAGACATCATTTATACTGCTACCAGTGTAGGAATGAAAGGCCAACATGATATGGATCCTTTCTTTCAATGGGTGAAATTCTGTATTCTTTAAAAGCTAAAGTAAAAGCAATTAACTTGTACAACAGCGTAAAGCCATTAGCCTTCTGATACAAAAACATTCCCCCAATACTACAAAATCCTAGATGTCACCCAAAGCTCTCTAAAGTTAATAAGACTGGGCCACACTAGGTAAAGCTTTGATTCAAATTTGTTTAAGATCACACCTACACCCATGAGGTGACTTCTCAAAGTTAGATCCCAGAGTTATTAAGTTTAACCCAAAGTGAGTTTCAGAGTATCTACACTCAATCTACTTTCATATCACACCAAAAGATAAATGGGCCATTTAAAGTACAAATCTTCTTCAATGATGTGCTGTCATAGCATAAAGTACACGTTTGTATTGTGCACAGTCATGAGACAGTGCATCTTAATAATACACCCATCTCAGAAAGTACATTTTTTTTCACTATTCATCAATAAATCATCATCATTTAATCTAATAATGATAAAAATCTAATGTAAAATACACAGGCAGAATAGCATTTCATTTATCTAATTGAATTTAAGTGTTGCCTGGATATATCCTTTCTTCCTTCAATTTTCAGTGAACTGGAGAGTTATAATAATGTATGTCCATCTCTAGGAAATTTTGTACTTGTCCTCTGCTGTTTCTCTGCAGAGAAACACTTCACAATTGTGTTAGTAAAGCCTTATGAAATTGAACACCAAAGCCAATACCTCTCTTTTTAAAGGTGATGCTAATTTCCTCAATTTCAGACCATCCCAGTTAAAACCATTCAACCACCTGATCAAAAAGAAATGGGAGATTATAGAGACAGAGATCAAGAAAAAGAAGCCTGTTTGCTTCTGTTAGAAGGATGATATTGTTAAAAACTTAAACACATGCAAGCAAGGGTTCTAAACCATTTTACATGACAACTGCCCACGTGGCCACAAGGTTGTGAGAAGGGGGAAACTTGAGGATTGCTGTAAGTACAGCCATGCAAAGATGTGCATGCCCTGTGGAATTCAGCATCCTTTTAAGGACATGAGAAAATAGACACTCATAGAAGAGTCGAAGCACTTCTTTTCTCAGGCACAAACTGCAGGGCTTAGAAATCACTCAGATGAAAAAAAAAAAGCAGGAAATGTCTAATCCTGTGGACTTTCTTCATTAAAAGGAAGAGGATATAAAGCTAACACTCTTAAGTCCTGCTCTTAAAAAATAACTGTTTGGTTTTAGATCAAAGAGTCAGAAGGTCTAAAAGGGCAGACATGAATTCTACAGGCACTGACTTCTCACTAATTAACCTAATCCAACTTTGATGTCACTAACCTGTGACAAACAAACAAACAAAACAGTAACCAGGGTGTTTCTAGCTGATTTTTTGTTTATAGTGTTGCCTGCTGTTGTAGCATAGATATGCACAGGAATATCTCCTTTGCAAACTCCCTGGAAGTGCCTGGAGCCTTGCAAGATTCTGAACTGAGCTCTAAAATATTAAATGTATTTTCCAATTGAGAAGCACTTTTTCTTCATGGCAGCCTCTTTCACTTACCTGTGCTTCTTAATGTCATTAATCCCATTCCTCAGATTGCCTAATCTTTCTGTCGGGTTCTGCCTTTAAAAAGAAAGAAAAAAAAAACCATAACGATTGAAAAAACATTCTTATTTTTGGGTAAGAGCATTTATATGCCCTAACTGCTTGCACTGAACAGTTCTGCAAGGAGGAAGCTTGCATACAAAATGTAGTTACATTGAGAGACAAAGAAGTTACTCCCTGCTCCTTTCTTCTGAGTATGGTAAAATGTTCCAGGAAGCCATGACCACGTCACAGTGCTGTGAGGAGTAGCTAAATGAAGTTGAAAGGAACTTAGCAGTCTGATCTTTATCTTAAATAGCTGAACCTGTCTATACTCAGGCTCTGTCACAAAGCATCAATCCTACCTGCAGAGTCTGCGGATCAAATCCTCAGGCCGCCTTGTTATTGTTCTAGGAAAATCCAGTTTTTCAATGCCTTTTAGAATCAAATTATATGTTGTCATCTGATCAGCCCCAGAGAATGGTGGGCTGGAAAAAGAAAGCACATTGTTGTATGGAATGGCTCAGAGCAAATATTTGAGAACACGGAAAAAACCCAGCCATTTTCCTGCTTCGACAACCTGTGTTTCAGCCTGTTTGAAATGCCTGAAAGGTGTGAAACTGAGAAACTGCCTGTAGGAATCAAGGATACTGCATGATCACTTGTGTATAAGAGACAAGAAGACATACCATTTTGCAAGTCATTCCTATTTACTCTGAGAAGAATAACAAGGTGTTTATTTTACAAACAACCTTCTTAGAAAGAAAATAAATGGAGAAAGAACTTGGAGTAGGGGGCACTTACCTGCCAGTAAGGAGTTCATACACAAGAATCCCAAGGGACCAAAAATCCACACTGAAGTCATGGCCCTTACTCAGGATGACTTCTGGAGCAACATACTCAGGGGTTCCACAGAACGTCCAGGTTTTCTGCCCTGATCCGATCTTTTTTGCAAATCCAAAATCAACCTGATCAAAACCAATAGATGCTGCATAACGAAGAGGTTACTGGGAAGCTTTAGGGTCTTCACTGCTTCCACACCTCCTGCAGAGATCTCACAGTCAGCAGTTTATAGCTAAACAATTACAGTGTTGTTGTGAAGGAGAAAGAAGTAATGCTACTGGATCACTGAATGCTATAGGATAATCCCATTTGTTCTCATGAGTAATTTCCCAAATGATTTTCCTTCTGGGTAGAACAACCCATGCTTTTCTTGAGGACACAAGACTTATAACCCACGGAAAAAGGTGGGTTGCTTATAATCCTCTGAACAGATGTCTGAAGCTCTCTAAAGAGCACTGTACTTCTACTTTTAATGTCAGTCCAATCAGGCAAGAGCTGTTTGTTGTGTTCCCTCTCAACTGAAATAATGTAGAGCCCGTGACTACTTGAGGTTGCACCTGGAAGTGTGGATCCTGCCTTTACATTAACAGCACCTGGGTACAACAAGATAACAGTGCATCTTACCAATTTTATATATCCTTCAGCATCCAAAATTAAGTTTTCTGGCTTCAAGTCTCGGTAGACAATTTCTATGTGATGTAGATAGTCCAAAGCCTCTGTCACACATCCAACACAGAACTTTGTAGTGGGTTCATCAAAGCTGCCTCTGAAAGAAAATCATTATCCATGCAGACAAAATCAACTTCTAAAAGTACCTCACTCATTAGCCAGATAGCATGTAACACCCAGAATGCTAACAACTGCTTTTGCACTGGTGTTCAGAATGTCACTTGTGGTTGAAAATGAATCTTTTCATGGGACAGTGTTTGAATCATTGGATCTTGTATGTCACTTAGCCTGTTTTGAATATTTTCATTGATACATCATCTCCCACTGCAAATATAAAAGTCTAGACAGGCTTAAATGCATAACAATATCCACTGACTGTGAAATGTAGCCACTGAATAATAACAGAGCCAAATGACAGCACAGTTTAAAAGAAAAAATTGAGAACTAAGAAAAAATGCCATGTGGTATTTCAGAGCACAACCTCTCTCTAACAAATTTGCCTTAAAAGCTTTCTGTTAAACAAAAGGAAACAAGATCACTTGTGTTTCCTTTGAAGGACTGCACTTCCAAGTGCAATATAAATCATGCGTTGTGTTAGGACAATAGTATTGTTTATTCAAAAGTACCTTCAACCAAATTATGATCATATTTCTTGCCTGATTTTGTTGTCCCATGGTGACAGATTGGATTTTATATCTCTGTATATGAGGAAAAAGGCAGGAGAGACAATCTCTCCTAACTTCCTTGCAGCATCTGCATCTGCCTGCTTGTATAAATGAATTAATCCAGGTCATATTTTCTTGACGATTTTTCCGAAACTGCTCTACTGCTAGTTACCTGATAATGCAGTCTTATCTCAGAACAAACTTCACTCACTCCCTTCCCCATATTCCACGCATCCCTCTCTATTTGTATATAAAGTTACTCTTGTACATGAAGCTTACCTGTCTCTCAGCAAGCTCCACAGCTCCCCACCAAGGCAAGCCTCCAGCAGCATGTACACGTACTTATTATCCTTAAATGTGCGATACAGTCTGTGGAGGCAAACAGCAGCTATTTAGGATGTGCCAGATGAGATGCAAGATTCACAATGCCTTTTCTCCAGCACTCATTTACGCCAAAAACTTCATTCTTAATGCTGACCGGTGGGTCAGATTTAAGGAAATCTTACAGTCAACTTACTTCACAATGAAAGGAGAACATATCTGCTCCAGGATTTTCTTTTCAGAATATATATGCTCTTGTTGTTTGGTGTCCACTACATGTTTCTTCTTTATACACTTCATAGCAAATGCCACGTTCTCATTTTTTACCTTAACCTGTGAATAAAAATAATGAGTACATACAGGATAAAGAAAAAAAGGTTTGCCCATCTGTTCTCAATAGATAAGCCTTCTCTTTCAACACAGCACAGCATTGAAACTGATGACTGTAGCAAAGGGGAGATTTCAGATTTTCTGCACAGCTACTCAGTATGATTTTAAGACAATCATCACATTTTTTGGGATCCCAGTCTTTACTTGAAAAATGAAATGTTCTCTTCACCCATTTTACATACACCAAACAGCATCAGTTTTAACAGATTATTTATCCTACAGCTACTTTACCACAATGAGACATAATTTCACTTTAAAATCACTGAACAACAGTACAACACAAATCAACAAAACGCAGAGTCTGTTTGTGAAGAATGTTTACAAATGACTTCACATTACACTGAAATACTGTCCAAAATGTAAAAAATGTAAAAAAAAAAAAAAAAAAAGAAGTTAAACCAGGGCTCCCAGAAATTCCAAGTAGTAGCCATTTACAGCTGGCTGAAAATTTAATTTTTGTTTATTTTCCAGGTGATGCTGTAGAATTCCCAAACTGGCAATAAACCAGTATGGAAATCTGGTTTGTGAAGCATGGCTCAGAATAAAGCAATTAATGGCTTAATTATGACAAAGATTTGATTTAAGACCGAGAGCTATGTAAATATGTTTAAAACAAACTCTTACAAGCTCAACCCTTCCGAACCCACCAACACCGAGAGTTGTGACAACTTCTAAATTCTGGAATGGGGAAGAAGGGAACTGGGCTACTTTCTCCTTCAGTTGTATCATCTCCAAAGACACCTCTTTGGTTGACTGTCCACAGAAGGATCTTCTTCTGCATTAAGACAATTACCATAGGTTAGTAATTTCCTTGCCAGCAAAACATATCACAGGACTCTAATAATCCTATAAAGAGGAAATGGAAAACAGAGGAAAAAAGAAAAAAAGGGAAAAGGAAAGCCTTCCTCTCCCTAACATTATCTTCATTTATTCTGTGCAGAACCACTTTATTTCTGGACAACATTTAAAAGTAAATTGAAAGTGAAATCCTTCTGAAATTAATCAAGTACTAACAATGTTAAGTGTTAACGTCAGGTTAAAACTTGAGCTGATTCGTGATGAGGTCCCTAATGAAGGAGTCAGCCAACAAACTTTGGGCACTCACATTGGAGAAAAAGTTTCTGCAGGGCTGTGTAGCCACTGCAATAGAACCACAATTATGTGGTTTATTAACAGCTTCACAAGCTGAAGCTGACCTTTAGTGGCTTTAGTGGTCAAGGAATCATGAGAATGCAAAAAAAAAGTACATCACACAAGCACAATTTCACTGCTTCTCTGTGTTCAGTTTTCTTGGACAGAGTGAGCACCTGGTTGCAAGTAAATGCACTGAGATTCTCTGTATTCTAATTTTCAGAAAAGTCCTTGGACTCCATAAGCAGCATACCCAGATAGTTCTATTCTAGTGATTCCAATCATTCCCAAATGATCTCCATCAACCACCATCCATGATTTTACTGATGTATCTCTCTCTTTTTGTGATTATCTATCAGTAATACTCCAAACAAAGGATCTGACTTACTTCGCATGTCGCTTCTCATCAGCCCTGGCCAGATTAGCCACATAACCTTCAAGGTAGGTTTGTAACTCCTCATAAGTTCCAACAGTTTGATTAAATGTCCTAAAATCATCAAGGAAACAGCATAAACTACCATACATATTACGAGAAGAGAGAGAAACCAAAATTCATATTGCTGCATCAGGGTTTTATGTACTGTTGCTTAGCTGGTATACATTTTCAGAGCTTTGACTAGCTGCTAACCTGCTGAAATATCAAACCTGGTTTGTCAGAATGCCCAGTCTCCTCATTTCCTGTTATACTGAAATAACTCAGAGAATGAACACCGAGAAAGTTGGGTTATTTCTGCTAATTCTCTTCCTTTCATCCTCTAACTGTTCCTTTTTTTTTTTTCTTTTTTTTTTTTTCCCACTTTAGGAAGCATGCAGCTGGCCTCTGGTGGACAAAATCAGCAATTTGGCTGCACGGCCTCCTTGACAAATGAATATCCCCTAAACAAGGACATGCATGGGCTTTTTGTTGTTCCCTGAGCCAAGGAACAGTATTTAACAATGTGAAACATCATCAGCACAAGGAGAGAAAGAAAGGAATAAACTGCTCTCAAACATCCGTGCCCCTGTGCCTTCCATCGAGCCTCTTTTCATTAGATGTCTGACTAAAGCATAAAGAAAAATCACTACACCAAAAGGATAATCACGCACCCAGTATTCACTTAAGAAAACACTGTGACTGCGCCTACACTGTAGTCACCTCTTGTTGTTGACCAACTGAAAAAGAATGCAAGTCTTTCCTTAAGGCACAGCATAATACTTACTCTCTATCTATTACGAGGCACTCCACGTCATATTCATCCGCAATAACATTTGCTGATCTGACATCATCACTAAGAAATGACAGAAATTAGAAGAATTCAGAAGAATGCCAAATCCTAAAAGTATTCTACACTGTACTTACTCTTGGAGGATCACAGCTGCTTAAGGTGAAACTCCTGGAAGGCCTCCACAGCCTGCATTTGAGTTAGTATTGCTGAACCGAATGAATTGTTCTAGTATGTTACTAGTCAGTATGACAATCTAGCAAAGAATATATTCTCATTTCACTGAGGTTCAGATCTTGATTCCCTTTAGCAACCTTCTCAATATTAGCAAAATATGTAAATAGCGTTGCAGCAGATTTGCTACTCATTTCAGAGGTGATTCTCAGAGATAAAATATTCCTCACACCATTCTCAATTCAATCATCCGAATAAATATTCATAGAAAAGACCTTAAAGGTGCCCAGAAACTAATCTATGTATGATTTGAGTGTTTTGTAAGTACCTTAATCATCTTTTTAGTTGTTGCTGTTTAGCAGATTCTGTGAAAATATTGCAATTCCCTATCACTATAGGTCTTGGTAAGAGATAATTACTTTCACATTTAGGCAGCTTAAAATTACTTACGGTAGTGTTTGTTGCCAAATCAAACACAGACTGCCCGTACAAAAAACAACAAAATAATCTAGAACTCTAAAAAAAAAAGTGCAGTTTTCTTCTCTTTGCCCAACTTTTCAGTGGTTGTTTTATGTCAATACGTATTTGGGAGTTTATTGTACATTTTTCATATTTGACACGTTATAGAAAAGCCTAGTATAAAGTATTTTACATCCTATGTAAATTTACCCATCCAATTTGCTGCTCAGAAGAAAGACCTTACAAGGTCTTAATGTAACCTGTTAGATATGAGTGTTACAACTTCCCTGAAGGCCAACAAGGTGCATAGAAAAGAAATTAAAGTAAGGGAGAGCTTGAGGTACTGAGCAAAAAGTAGCTCTCTAATGCTTAGGTTTTTAAAAATTCGTTTTTTGCAAGCACTATCTATCACAGGCTTAAAATCAAATTAGTGATCACAGGAACTTCCTTAGGCAAATCCAACACATAACTTCTACCAGGAAAAGATCCCCAGAAGCAAAAAGTCAACTACTCTACCAAAGATTGGTTGTAACATCATGAAAAACAGTAGTATCAGTAAAGTTCAGATACAATAAATGAAGGCCTTCTGAGAACACAAAGTCTGAAAACATGTTCCTGGAGAAAGGTACATGGCTCATAGGTCATGTATTCTGTATACTCCTTTTCACTTTTTCTTACTATCATGGGCACTTGCACAAAAAGAGTGATTCTTTCCTGTAATCATTGAGCTTATCCATGCTAGCGGTCATCCAGAGGTTGTAGCAACAAATTCTCATTACTGCTTTTACTGGAATACAAGCAAAAATATACAGAGAAGACCAGCATTTGGTTTTTATAGGGAAAACCAAAAGTAAGAGGCAGAGTAAGTGTCAAAGTTGTTTCTGCAAAGACCAAAACATTAAGACAAATTCAGCCATTGCCTTCCTTGGCTGACATGACAATTAAAACAAGGATTATATTCGAAACAACCATGATATGTATAAGCTGGCACACAGTGACAGATCACTTAAATATGATACATCAGGAATCAGTGCGAACTAACCTAATGAGGGCCTTTTCTCCAAAGTAATCTCCTTTATGCAGATTTTTAATCAGCTGAGGCTGTGAGTGATCTGCAGTACTCTGGGTAACCTTTACCTGGAAAGCACAGGAACAAAAATTCAGGAAGATTGAAATATCCCATCAAAGCATCCAATGGCTTATTTATTTCACAAACACCTAAAACTCAAAGATATTGCAGTAAGTTACAAATAAACATAATTTCTACTTCCTCTCAAAACTTAAACCTATCCACCAAACATCCTGCAGTCCCTCCCAGATTTTACTAGGAAATGGCAAAAATTAATGTATTTCCCATTCTCCAACATTTTCTCCTCATATCTTTTAAAACAGAATAAAATAAATCCCCTTCAAAAACAAACAAAAAACTGAAAAAAATGCTTCAGTTTCTCAAGACAGGCAATGCAACAGGCAGATATCATATGAGCTTGTCTTCTCAGATAAGCAGCCTGTAGAACAGCAACTAATATTTTCCACCTTTACAAATAAATAAGACCAGAGAATTTATGAAAGAATTTTAAGATTTGTAACACTTCACGTTTTTTAACATCCATCCTGTTTTAAAAAATAAAGGACGAAAACTTATTCTCAAAAAGAATTTCACTGTTTCAATTTAGTTTTCTGATTCACAAAATCAAGGCATAAATTTAATGAATATGTAATACACAGCTCCTACAGGTGTCTGGATTGCAAAATGGTCTCCTTCAGATCTTCAGGAAAGGTTTGTTGCAAGCAACAGTCTCTCAAGGGCTTTTTGGCAATGTACTAACAATGTACTAACTATCAAAACTGGAGACAATTCATACTGCTGATGTGACTACAGTCATAAAAAACCCAACCCAAATAAACTCAACTCACCCATACCAGCAAACATCTGCAGTTGCAGACATGCTTTGGAAAACTAACATAATCTCCTGGCAGTTTATTGACGAAATTCTCCAGCTTTGATTCTCTAGAGTCCTCTGTTATCCTTTACCAATAGAAGTGTTTGTATACATAATTAGTTTGTTTTATTATATCTTACCTTTCCTTTTGCTATTATAAAGAAGGTATTTCCTTCTTCTCCTTCCCGAATAACATAATCTCCTTTGTCATAGTACTCCTGTTGGGAGGAAAAGAGAAGTCCACATTGCTTGATATGTCATCAGACTCTTTGAAAAATCTGATTATTTGCAGAGTTCTTAATATATCTGAATGTGCTACTGCTGTCTACTTTCCTGTGTACAACACAAGTCACATCCCATAATAACATGCAGATATTCTACTATGTAAAATTGGCATGGTGGCCAATCTGTAACACATCTAAATGCAGCTTCATCAAACGTATTAGCACCGCTGTTATTTCTTGCCAACCTGGAATCCCACTCTGACCAATACAAAAATATTCTCATGTTAAAAAACAGAAAAGCTTTCCTATTTATTTATGTATTTATTTCTATTTTTTTCATTCTTCATTATTTTTAAAACTTACAAACATTGTTTGGATAAATCTAACAGCATCTTACCACCTCCAGGCAGTCCATGATTTTGGTCAATTTGTCTTCTGGTAAGTTTTTTAAGAGGGACACACTATCAAAAGAAAAAAAAAAAAAAATGGAAATGCAAAGCAAAAAAATATATATGTATATATTATGATAAACACTATGACTTATTCTCATCCAAGCAATTGCCACAAACACAATTTGTATCTAAACTGATTCTTTTTTAACCAAATACACAATATACAATATGCACTATCTAGAAGCTTGAAGCACTCTTATCTCACTTTTTAGATAAGCAAAACCTATACAATTAGAGAAACGTGGCAACCATTCATCAGTTTGTAAATCAACTTTGTATTTTGATTGGGGAAAAAGCTCTAAATTCAAAATTCTGTCATTCAGGACCCATCCATTTAGAACCAAGAAATTACAATAATCCAATCATGTATTTCCAAATGCATTACAGAGACCACAAAATCAGACAAAGGTAAAAAGTACAGTATTACATTTACAGCCATTAAAAGAAATTCAGCGTCAGTGATGACTTAGTGAACCTGCTGCTATGAGTGAGAAAACCTCTTGTTCTGAGTTTGTGAAAGTTAGGACTGCAAGTAGCTCTCCAACTACTGGCTTCAATATAGGAATACTTACAGAAATCAAAGATGGAGACAAGAAAAAAATGCACAAAAATACATTCTATGTATGGTCAGGCCTGAGATCTCTGAAACAATATCAGAATGGCCATGCTTAGGGAAAAAAGTTGAAGAAAAGGAAAAGATGAAATCAGGTAATTGTGGTTTGGAAACTCGAAGCACGCTTTTCTGGAGAAAAAAAGGACAATTCATCTCTAAGTCCCTTACAGGATGGAAAAATACTCCACTCCTCTATAGTATTCCCAATACTATATGTAGGAAAGAGTTCATAAAGAGAGCCACATACTTCTCATATTCAAGTCTCCAAGGGATGATGAATATATTAGTTAATCTGCACCAGCAGCAAATTAACTTCTAGTCAGAGGATTTCATTAACTTTCTTTATTTAATACATTGTTTTGACTTCAAGCCAATGTAGCCTTCCTATACATTTGTTCAGTTACTTAAAATTATTCATTTTGTCAAGCAGGTCTTGCTACTTCCTAATGCAATACAGGAAAAGACAATTAAAATGAACAAAATGATTCTGTGAATCCTAAAGAATATTGAAAGAGATCAGTATTCAGGTTACTGAGTGCCTAATGCAAAGGCATTAAGGTGCTCTTAATGTTATTAAGCACAACGTTATTGTGCATCTTACCATAAAGCCCAAACCAGTGCTCAGAAACTCAAATGCATGATGTTTACCTTCTAAGAAAGTTTCTGTACTGTTCTTGCCTTGTCTGTGCTGTCACTCTCATGATGTTTTGAAACACTTCTCTGTCCAGTGCCCATGTTTTAACATTGGTGATTGCTTTAAGAAAACAAAACAAACAGACAAAAAAAAAAAAAAAAAAAAAAAAAAACAGAAAAATCCATAAGAATTCCTAACGATTTGATAGGAGATAGATAGTACTGCATACTATGATTTGAATCAATCTCTAATTGGGATAACATATAATTGATTTTGAGATACACAATAAGGTAGGAATAACAGGTAAAGAATACATGGAATTTCATGCCATCCTATAAACTTCAAATATTTCTTCCTCTAAAAGACTTTTTTTCTATGGGAATAAAAGGTAATAAAAACAAACCTTACAGATTTCTAATTACCTTTAGAAACATAATCAAAATATGAAAGCAAGCACAAGATCCATCATCAAAGACGTAAACTATTGGCTGGCCTCTGTGTGCAACCATTGACACGACAGACCCCATTGCACTTTTAATTTTTTTTTGAGCAAAATATTGTGTTTGCTTTTTAAAAAAATAATAAAAATAAAAGATGCTGCATCACATTCAGCAGTTTTCCTTCTGTGATATAAAGGAATTAGAGTTTCCACATACGGATTTACTACTTGTGCTCAGTGGTGGCACCATGATGCTCTTCTTCCAATACAAGAAACACGAGAAAGCTTGTGGGGAGGAGTGAGTTCTGGAGAGACTTTAGCTATTCATACACCATTTCTGTTCAACTATTGGGCAATTCTCATCCTACCTCAAAACCAATTAATGTTAACAAAAGTCTCAAATAGCATGACATCTTACTATGCTGAACCATTATTTTACAATGCTAATGCTATACAGAAGGCAAATACGAAAAATAGGAAACATTCAAATGCTAGGATGAAAAATAATCACATTATGGACACTGTTCTATTTATCAGGCAGCCACAAAGAAACAGATTACAGGAGGTTACTCCATCTACAGAGTCAGCAATGATTTAGTGCTTATACTGGGTACAGGAAGAAAGAGCAGAAGTTTTTAAAGCAAACAGCTTCTTGTTTTAGTGCCTTTGCTCCTTTTTTAAGCACACACAAACTCTTCATGCTTACTGATGGTTCAAGGTTGCTGAAGATTTAGACAAGAAAAGAAATATGCTGCCACATGAGTTATTTTTGCAGGATAGTGGAGAGTGGAATAGTGGGGATGGGGAATTAAAACCACATTTGTTCACTTACTGCTCTGTCACAGAATTAAGATGGCAGGCTAGAAAAGGAATTCAGGGATACTGGATGGGTTACTATCCAGTCTTACACAAGAAGATGAATACTTACATCACAGCAACGCTGAACTCTATGGTGGTTAGGCAGTAAACACAAAGCAAGAGTCAATATTTGTCTTGGAGAAACAGCATGTCTCCCTGAGAAATATCATCTCTCCCACTACCTCACTGTTATCAAACTCATTCTTCTCCTGAATGCCATACACAAATGGACCTTGGTGAGACTCAGTAACTTACTGAGTGATATGGAACTAAAAGAAATACAAAAGCAACTAATTCCTTCAAGTTTTATTTCTTCTCAAATTAGGCTTTTTCTGCCTTATTAAAAAGATAACAGCATATAGATCTGAGATCACTTAAAAATCAGTGTTTGAAATATGAACATTGAGAGTTAATGATCACCTCTGCTACTAAATCATTCTACACTGAAACATAACCCTTCCTTAGTTGTTAATCGGGTACAGATTTGGTTAAAAAGCATATTTCGGAGACGCATGATCATTTATCAAAGATCATACCAGAGATAAAATACATTACTGACAGGGGATTGTTCAACTGCCCAGGAAGAACAAACTCAAAGAAGGAAACATGAGCTTAGCATAGGTACTTAGGAAATGCAGACATCTATTAAATGACAACTTCAAAGACAATCAAGATACAACAAGAATCTCACAGTTGTACCTACTGGCTTCTTTCTGAGCAATGTTCCTGTAAGAAATGTTACATACCTTTCACGGAAGCCGTCCGTGTGCAGTTGTATAAAATGGCCAGTTCACCAAATGCTGTCCACACAGGTATGGAGGAGAGCAGTTTATTCTGCTGGAAGACTTCCAGTCTGCCCTCTGTCAAAAATCATCAGGCTAGCATGAATTAAATCTGAGCTCTACTGCACATAGTGAAATGAAGAAAAATTAATGCATTTCTGGCTTCATCATTCTCAAGTCAAACAAGGATAGGGACACTGCCTTGAAACACAGGTACAAACCATCAGAGTGGTTTCTTTCTCTTTCGGATGTTTTGCTAATATACGATTTGGATGTGGAAGGGAAAGAGAGTTGAGAAACTTTTCAGCGCCATGAATAGGCTATGGAAAAGAGTCATTCTAAACCCCAATGAAATAAACTTCTGTTACAACAAAACAGTCTGCGGTGGTTGAGATAGCCTCATGTATTTTAGACAAACACAAATTAAAACAGTGATGAAAGAAGAATTCCTCATGAGGCTTGTTTGTTCTTGCAAACACATTCGTGTGTATGCACAAACTGTAAGGGAGAGGGCAGAAAGATGAGAAGCAAGTAACTTTATCCTTAGATAAAATGGTCTTGACCCTTACCATCAATCTATCACAAGTAAAAGGTAGTCTGAATTTCTTTATTATGGCCCAAAAAACCCCATCCTGAAATCTTGGACCTCTTCTTTTCAACATACCTATTGGTCCCTAAGGAAAGCTCTACTGTGTCAGGAGAAATTCTGATTGCACAAATCCTGCCTCTTTCCTTCTCTACACCATGTATTTTCTTTTCAAGCACAGCTACCATCAATTTTTCACACTAAACCTTCCATTTCTAATTAGAATTAGTAGTTGCCCTCCTCTGGAGGTCTTCACGAACCTGAACTCTTTAAGTTCAGTTCTTTTCTTCAAGTATATGCCTGTACTCTGCAGCATGAACTCTAATTCTTAATAATTCTTGTAATTCTAGTTCTATTTAAAAAGAAACAAAAGTCACAGATGAAACATGCATTGACGTCAGTGGGGCCAGTATGAGTACAAATAACAATGTTTCTGTCTCCTGCAAAGATTTCTAAATTGCTTCCCTGATTCTGGTAGCTACACATTGCATGAGCAAGCAGAACTCACCTTTGAGGACAAAAATGTGATTTCCTGGCTCTCCTTGTCTGATGACATAGCTCCCCTGCTGGAAAGTCCTCTCATACATACATTCCACCATCTCTCGGATCTGCTGAGGCTCCAGTCTCTTCAAGAACTGATTTTTATTCAGGGCGTCTGTGATGAGTTTCTTCTCACTGTTTTCAATGAAAAGCGAAGTTTGATAGATCAAGCCCAGCTGGGTTACATTACTCATCAGGCATTCATTCTCCTCAAAATGTTTCCTCTAATTTCTAACACTGACAACGTGATCAGTATCACAGATGCACGTAATAATCCTTGTAACTTAAAGGAATCCCATAAGAAGTGCCATCATTGTTCTTGATTTTGTAGGGATTTGAGCACCACACTGGAAGTACCATGGTCATGCATCCTGACTGGAACTTGGACCTGACTGAACCCCTTGACTGGGGTTGTTGATGGTTGTTGTTATCACCATCCTACTGTTTCACCCATTTGGACCTTGTGGGACTGTGTCCTGGTTGATTCTTGGCTCATATTTCCTGACACAGTGTCTCTGCATCACTTCCTGCAGTAGGAAATGCTGATTTAGAAATGATTTCAAGGACAAGAACAGTAGGTTTGCTATGCTGGTGGAAGAATGGAATGGTTGGATTTTAAGGAGAGAATGTCAGAAAATCAACGTTACCTGAATTGACCACTAGTGACTAACCAGCTGGGACAGAGCTGGCTCTGTGTACACACCAGGCAATCCATGCATTCTGATTGCTCTGGGTCAAGGGCTGCCTCTAAATACCGCATAGTGTCTTGAATCCACGCCAGAAACAAAAGCAATTAAGCAAATGTGGCACTGAAAGCCTCTATGGACCAAATGAGCAGTTCTCTTTTTACTGCCAGTTTAAGTGACATTATGTCTTCAAGTCCCCTTGTTCCTGTTCAGCATGTGTAGACAAGCTGCCCAACAAAACCAGCACCCTCATGGCTTTCTACAAGCAAACCCCTCTTGTTTGTCTTTGTATAAACAATGCAAATCAGTCATCAAAACCAGGGAAAGTACAAAGTCTCCTGAGGGAAATCAGCAATGAACTGTCATGGAAATGGGGAATGAAAAGAAAGTACATTCACCACATTACTCGCCACATAATGTCTGTGAATCTGTAATGGTAATGACAAGAAGAAAGAAAATAAAATCAAGTAGTTATGGTAAAGATCGCTTAGAAACAGAGATCATAACATGGCTTTTTCTGAAGACAATACGGTTATTGGAATAGAGCCTCTAACTTTGTTTCCAACTAAAAATGGCTTTGCTTATTTCATTTACCCTGGCCTGCATCATGCACATTACACCACAATAAAATGCAGTAATGGCTCATGAAATGATACTTAGGAACAAGCACTAAAGCTTCCAGAAATACAAAACAGAGGATGGTGCTGCTTTCAGGAAGTCCAGTGAGGACCTAGAAGTATCACAGTCATGCCTCAGGTTCTTGACTCAGTTGTTTGCTCATTTCATATACATCCAGCACAATACATCATTGTTGACTGGTTTTTTTTTCAGCTTTCCCACACCCACCCCAGTTTTGTGATTTGCTAAGAGCATATGCCTCAGGGCAAAATGCTTTCTCTCCACCAGTCTTTCTATTAGCGATGAGAGATTTTGGACATATGTTGGAAATGGCTGAAACTAAAAGTATTTTTTAAGTGACAAATAATAATAATAATTTTATTCTCCACCCAATAACGACTAGTAGCATTTAGGTCACAATCCTGAGGCTGTAATGAGGAAAAAGTTTACATCAGCAGCTTAAATGCTACTGATCATGGAAGCATACTGTGAAGGGACACAAAAAAGTGGAGAAAAAGCACCATAGGTCATCAGACATTTAAATTAGCAATGCTGTGCAAATTGTAAGAAGTTGAATTACTTTCAGACTGAAAAATAGCTGGACTGTAATCAACTTTCAAATACCACTCTCAAGGGGTATATTCTACAGACCTTTGCTAAAACTTTTCAATACTCCATCTCCCTTAAAGAACACACTCATTTTTGGAAGCTGGGATGGATTTATCCAACTAGCTCAGAAGACTGCATATATACAAGAGTATGCATTCATAGTCTATAGATGAGGAATCATCTGAAGCTTCTAGAGCTTTCATTAAAGCATCTATATTGAAATACTCCCAGTGGTGAATCCTCTTTAAAACCCTGTTCAATAAATAGCAGAGAACTATGCAATGAGTTTTTACAGCATTAGTACAATGTTAAAAAAAAAAAAAAAAAAAAAAAAAAAACAACCAACCAACACTATTGCTACAGCACCATTAATACAAGTTCATATTCAGCTATTTAATTATCTTATGACTGCTGGAGCATGCTCCCGCACTTTCAAGTAAAACCCAGGTATATTGCCTTTTGTCTTACCAAGAGTTAGAGCAGGAAAATGAATAATTATGGAAGATCATTGGTAATTTAAGAACAATTGCTAGAATAAGAAGTTGAATTTAAGCTTAATAATGTAAGAAGAAGTAATTTAATCTCTGGCATGATCTATTGAATACAGAGGACACCCAAGAAGTAATATTTTTTGTTTTAATTCTATCTTCTCTGACTTACGTCAATGGCCAAGTAATAGCTAGCTTTAAAAGGTGATCTTTATGGTCCACATCCAAAATTATTGTGTTTTGTTTGTGGGATTTTTTTTTAACTTCTTAACTTTGTGGATTTTTTTTTGTTTTGTTTTGTTTTGTTTGTTTGGTTTTTTTTTAACTTAGTACTACAAACTACAAAGCAACTTTTGTAAAGAATGCATGACCAGCTCTCTAATGGCAAACTCTCTAATGCTAATTACAGCAACAAAATTGAAACACTTACTAACACTTGATAATGAAACAATGAATTTGGCTTCACTCTAAAATTATACTCAGGGCAATAGTTAGCAAGCAAATGAAAGTTTAGTGGCCCTCGTGGAGGATGAGAGTTCCAATAAAAACTGAAGTGCAAATGAAAGAAACTGGGAGGTGCTGAACAGAAGGGAATAGAAGGGAAGTGAACAGAACAGCAGGAGAGCTGGAAACAGTGGAGACGAAAGAGAATGGTGGGCTGTTCTTAATGCTGAAGCAGCGAATATTAAAACAGTTATTTCCAGGACAATAAAGCTCAGAATAAATGCAGAAATAGAATATTTTAAATTGTTACAAATCTTTGGGAGCCTTACCAGTAACAGTGATTATTTTGGAATCAAATTATGAAATATTAATTTGGAGGGAAAATGGAATGTAGTGATGGGCGCAGTGGATGACAACTTGACTGAGCCGGATGGCTTTTATGTCTACAGCAGTGCATGTACCATGAATGCCCCAAAATCACGAAGATGCACAAAACTGAGACACTTGAGCTGCTAGCTGAAGTTCACAGATTCTGGCTATCACCATGTTCAGTCGCATACTTGGGATTTGCCTAAACTGAAGGGTAAAACTGTAAAGTATGTTTAAGGATACTGGCCTGAGAACTGTCTCCAGGTTGAGCTGCAACTGCTGGTTCTCTTGGCTTTTGCAGGGGTTGGAAGTGTAATTGGATTCAGAGAGGTAAAAGTATGAATATGTTCCTAAACCATGACTGTCAGAAGCTGGAAGGCAGAAGGAAGTACTAACAGGATAATCATGCTGTACAAAATATCTTGTCATATTTTGCAACAGGGAGTGGTACTGTGATCATAGAATCATAGAGACACAGAATGGCCTGGGTTGAAAAGGACCACAATGATCATCCAGTTTCAACCCTTCTGCCATGTTCAGGGTTGTCAACCACTAGAACAGGCTGCCCAGATGGATGACAAAACTAGTATACAGCTAGGAGTCATGCCCACACTGCACTCTAGCTGAGGCCATCTGCTCTTTCTCAGGACACCCATAACACAAGAACAAGGTTCTGAACCTATGTGATGGCATCCAGTCTTCTGCCCATCAGTGCTCCAAAGCAGAGCTTAAAATGTAAGCTGTGGGCAAACCTGGGCCTGAAAGTTAGTTTCTGCGTGGTTGATAGTAATGAAGAGGCTAAAAGCTAAAATACAGAGGCCACCTACAACTCAATCTAAAGTCTGAGACACAGATGATTCTTTGTTAAAAGTTAAACAGATCTAGCTAGCACCTAACTACCACAGTGACAAAGCCTATACAGGAAAAAAGACGGCTGATTTGATTTGATTGTGATCTCTCATGAAGAGACAATATAATTGGGACAGAAATTACATCCTTGCAACACAAACATACAGCCATTCTACAGTGAGCTCACCTGGAATCCTTTCTGACTCTTGATTTTTCAAAGGAAAATCTAGCTTGTTTGCCAGAATCATAGAGCTGTGTTGTTGGCTCTGCAGATACACCCTCCTTAGCTCCTTTCCTCCTGTCAGCAGAGACTTGATTCTTTGGAGTCACTCTAAATGGAGAAGGCTGAAGAGAGTGTTCTCCTTGAGTGTTAATAACATCCTGCAGCTTGTTCAGCTGTATGCACTTGTTCTGAAGTTCCTTGGTGAGTTCTGCTATGACTTTTGTCTGCACGGACAGCTGCTCCTGAAGCTCAGCAACAAGACTTTGACCCTCTTGCAACTCTTCATCTTTTCTTCTGAGCTCCTTTTCCAGTTCAAGCACTCTGCTGCAAAGCACATCAACTTGTCCAGTGACGTGGATGCCCAAACCAGGGTCTGTTAGAAACTTATAGTTGCTAGCACAACCAAGAGCTAGATTTGCTATGTGTCTGTCTGGCTGCCTCAGATGTTTGGGTTTCATTGATGCATTCCCCATTTTGTCCAATGACCTAAGTGCAAAAATACATTTGCAGTGTTACTTGGTTGCCTGTACAGAAGGAAAATATCTCTGTTGAATGGTAGGAAACAAATGCTAACTATTTAGCTAGGAGCAAAATTTTAATTGACTATACTAGTTGATTGATTTCACCTTTTTCAGTCCTGAAAGTGAGGGATACAGGGAAAAGAAAGGGTGGTGAGTTGGTGGATAGAAAGCAAAAGGCAGCAAATTCTTTTTGTTAGCTGAAAAAATGTGCAAGCTCCTCTCAACCCAATACAGACAAAACAAGAGTAAAAAAAATGGGAAGAGAAGTTCATGCTCTGTTGCTGAAGAATGAAATTTAGTACATGAAAACACTACTGCTTCTTTTCTCCACTGAGGTCATTGATCACACAAACTCAACCACTGGGTGCACATCTACCCGACATAAAGGATACATTTTTTTGTAAGCATGTCCATAAATAACATAAATATAAACTGCCATGCTGATTAGAGCAAGGATCTGACTGTCTCTAGCTGTGTTCAAAAGGAGATCCTTATAGAAAAATCACATAGGCCACTTGGTTCATGTGCTGTTCCAAATGTCGGATCTACTGACAGTGTTTGGATTACTGTGGGGACACTTCTCTCCAAACATTTGCTGCACCCAGTTGCTCTCCACAGGTTTCCAAAGCGATATATCTTCTTCCCTTTGGCATATCATTTGCTTTAAGATGAGCAAACTATATTTAATGTTCATAATTTGGAGAAGAAAAAAAGAAAGAAGAAGAAGAAAAAAAAAACCTAGCAGATTACATTTGGGTGTCCAGCATTCAATTAACCCTATGTCAGAGGAGTCTTAGAGCAATGTCTGCCTACAAATCTCATCTGTGGACTACGACAGTGCCAGTTTACAGCTTTGATGCAGTTCAAGCTTAAAAAGATCTCCACTTGGAAAGAAGAATTGAGCTTAGGGCTGCATTGCCTTAGCACTGCACGGAGCTGCTGTTCCTGAACACCAGCTCAGACTCCCAGTGAAGCCTGTTAAGGCTTCCAATACGGTTCTGCCCTGCTTTGCTGCTTTTGACAGGTCGCGACAGAAGTATTAGACAATATTACTTACGTTTCACATGCAGTTCTCCTCCAAGCAGTCTCTGCTCCTCTCGGCTCCGGGTGCTCACTGTGACATGGTGTACCACTCACCTTCTGCTGTGATTTCCTGGTGTCTCCTGGCAGCCGGCACTTCAGCTCGTCACGAAGTTCACCACTGATGGATCCGTGCTACAGAGCAGAATTCAAACAACGCATGTATCAAGGTAATACATCAGTTATCTCTGAGGAGTGACCTATGGCACAACCGAAGATTCAAGCTCAGCATGCAGGCAGATCAAAGGGAGACAAAACTGTTACGACACATAGAGCAGAAATGAAGATTATGGGAGGACTGTCCTCACACCCAGCAGTCTGCCATAAGAAATGCTGCAGTGGCAGTCACCGCATTCCAAAGGCGGCTCTGGCAGGCGTCTAAAACCTCTGAGAAAGGGATGAGAGGAGTGCAGTCAGGCACAGGAGAGCACGGTGTAGAGATGGAATGCAAACAACAGGTCTGCCTTACCTGTCTGTGGGCGATAAGTCAAAGCAGAGCGCGCTCCATCCGCTGACTGCAGCGCAGCGCGCAGCCCCGCTCGGGTGCCCCCGGCCGTGCGGTGCGGAGGGGGCGGGCAGCGAGCAGCGAGGGCGGTGAGGAGCGGACAGACCCACGGGCGCCGTGGCCGGGGCTGTCCCCCCTCTCCTCCTGCCGCCCGCGGCGCCATCTTGCGGCCTCGCTCAGCCAGCGCCGCGGGGGCTCTGCGGAGCCACGTTCGGCGCGGTGGATCCGAGCAGCTCCCGCACGGCACGGGCTGGCGGCTCGGCTGGTGCAGGGAGGGTGGTACTGCACGCGCGCCTGGAGCTCTGATTTTCTCCTCCAACCTTTCTCCTCTCCTTTGGGAGTGTCTGTTCACCCCCAGGCTGTGGATCGTGTTTCATCCCGATTACAAACACAAACTTGCTGCTTGAAGTGCTTGGAAGAAAAATACCCAAGTCTTTATGCTGTCTCTGAATCACAGAGTCATTGGAAAAGACCTCCAAGATCCCCAAGCCCAGCCCCAACCCACTCCCCTATCATGCTCACTAATCCTGTCCCTCGGTGACACATCTCCAGGGTTTTCAAACACCCCTGGGGATGTTGACTCCATCATCTCCCTAGGGAGGCTGTGCCATTGCATCACCACTCTTTCTGCAAATAAACGTTTCCTAATTCCAACTTGAACCTCCCCTGGTGCAACTGGGGGCTGTTACCTTTCATCCTATCACTGGTACCTGGAAGAAGAGGCTGGCCTCTGAAGTGTAGGCTGATGATTTCTTTACTATAGTTTTGGTGAGCTTCAAATAACCAGAAAGCGCAAAGCAACAGCTAGTTGCTGTCCTGCCTATCAACTCCGAGGTAACACAGGTTTCAATAAAGCTACTGTTGCAGCTTGAACAGACCCAGAATAGTCCAAGGGTAAAAATTGCATAGAACTTGTTACAAATTTCTTTTGGTCCTGTTCACATAGGTTACATTGTTAGCAGAGGGCCTTATTTTAAACAAACCTTCTGGAGACAGCATCACAGATTCCGAACTCAGTAACTTTAACTTAGAAGACGTGGAAATAGATGCTTTAGGAAACTGAACTGGCAAGGAAATACTCTAGAGCACACTAATGCAATATTATTCACTGAAATCCCACGCTGCCTCTTTCTAAAGTCTCTGGTATGTGTTAGAGAATGTTTTTTTTAGTGTTTCAGGGTGGCAGTATGAGTGGGTTACAAGTAGGAACACTTGGTTCAGTATAGGTTCAAAATGAACTTGATTTGGTAGCAGTCCAAAACCTACAAAAATTCCCTTTTTTCTTCATTATTTCTGTAGCTTTTTAGCTTTATTCTATTTTTATTTTTTTTTTCTTTTTCCTTTTGAGTACGTTAGCATTAGTGAACTACAGATCAAATTCAGGGAATTGAATGTTATACAGTGGCATGACCTGCTTACAGCCATCAAGAATCATAGACACAGAAACATACAGATTGGAAAACTCCCCCACGATCACGAAGTCCAACCATCAACTCTCCATCCATACACCCACTAAACAACCTCGTTATATTCCAAAAACAGATGGAAATTGATGGAAACGCAGGAGCTGGAGATTAGCACTGCAGGCTGTTGGGTTCAGCAGTCACAATGAGGTTCTGTGCCCCTGTGAAGCTACAGAAATGGAACAGAGCCTTTCACAGATGAGGTAAGTGGAAATCAGCCTATCCAAAGGTGGGCACTCAAACTCTAACTGCTTTCATGTCTCAAAGATTTTTGGTGAGAATGGAGAAAAAATACTGATTTATTTTCTCTTCTTTCAGATGTCCGCTAAATCACTAACAGGCAACTAACTCAGAACATGGGAACTGCTGTCCCGGGAATCCAGAGATCCTTCTTGAGAAGTGCAGCTGGGTATCTGAGAAAGTAAGTCATCCTGAGGACCACATCAAGCACAAAACAAAGGAACTCTGATAACTTAGCAGCCTAGGAAACCAGAAATCAGACCAGCTATTGGTTGTTGCATGTGGGAAAAGAGAAGTTAGCCTGGCTTTATCACAATAAAAGGGAGTTGGAGCTGGAATAGCTCTGAAGCAACTTAGTTTTCACTTCTCATTCTTCCCTGGACAGCATGTACTAAAAGAAAACTGTATGCTATAATCTATAATTCCCATTCTCCTATTTGCAAGCTTCTGGAGCAGTGATAAAATAGTGTAGTGTAATGGAAACATCCTATGCATAATCCTTTCCATTCACAGTGCTGCCTGTTATCAAGAACTGGATCAGATTTGCAACCATGAAGATATGAGGAGCATGAACTTGAAAATATGGAGCTTCAGATTGTGCCTTGCTTTTGCAGAGCTCACTTTTTAACCAGAACAAACCACATGTTTTAAAGATATCATTTCTTTTCCTCCCAGCCAAGAATCAAACAGTTGGGGATTACAGGTTGGTAATGCTATTCCTCCTTTCTAGCTTCTAGACACACATTTGCATTCCAAAGATTTTATTCTTACTTGCGTGGCTGGCCTACTGAATCAGTAAAGGATACACTTCTACCAATTATCATTCACCAATTTTAATGCTTCAGAGAATATATATATATTTTTTTAAAATAAATGATGGCTTGAAAAAACAAACAAACAAAAAAAACCTCTGAAGTTCATCCAGAGCCTTCCGGCATCAAAATTCTCTTGCTTGACAGAAATGGCATTTTCTGTGTTCCCAATGTCCTTCAAGAAACACAGCAGGAGTCATCTCAATATAAGAAAACCAAGGCATTTGAGGTTATTATATTTATTCCTAGCCAGCATTTCAGAGTTGTAATTTCAGCACTGAAAAGATTTTAGTATGCATTTTCTGTTACTTCAAAACTGTACTGAATTTGGCACTAGAAGTAAAAATGAAATCATAACCTAAACAGAGCATAAGTATTATGGAAAGTGCATTCAAAAACATTATGGAAAAAAATTGTTTCAGTGACTTCAAGTCAACTTGGGTCTTGCACTTGGGGTGTTGTTTCTATAACTGAAAAACATCAGCGAGATGTAAAAAGCAATTTTAGCCAAACTGTTATAGCTAGTGTTATTTAACATTGAACCTGTTCCAACTCCCTGTTCCATCTCCTCTATAGCAGTCTGTCGTCTCTGTATCAATACAACAGTAGCTTGTGTAAATGCATTGTGTGACCTCAACAGTAGTAATCAAATTATGTAAAATGCTACAAGAACATACACAAGGCAAACAGCTAGCAATTTTGTTACATATGACATCACTACCATTAACTCTGGCAGAGAACATATCTTGATTTTGCTCTAGGCAAAATTAGATTGACAATACAGAGCACCAAAGTCACCCTGAGGTGGATATAGGGACAGTGGGCAGCTACATCTCTGAATCCTGTGACCCT